GGTTGTCTGTCCCAGGGCTGTGGATCCAGCTGCTGCCAGCCCTGTAGCTGTTGATCAACTCATCACAGACCCACTACCTGCCTAGAATAACCTTCTACTCTCAGACTTACCAAAAACCATGCCAGGATCATCACATTTTTTTGTCCTAATTGTATGCAACACTCATCAAACTGCCAATCTCCCTGTGAACAGATTTGTGAGTGTGGGCAGCAAGCTGATCTTTGTTTAGTTGCTACTTGGTGACACCAAGCAAGACCTGGATTCATGGTCTTCACCTGGAAAAACTGATTACTCTCTCTTTAAATTAAGATGGAAGAAAGACGGAAGGAAGGAAGGAAGAGAGAGAGAGCGAGAAAGAAAGAAAGAAAGAAAGAGAGAGAAAGAAAGCAAACCCTCAAAACTACATTATCAGATCTTTGCAAGGTCTAAAACTTGCCATTTTCTTTCAACCCACTTGTTATTTTTATCATTCCTCTTCAGACCCTTTCCTGACACCTTTGTATCCTCTCTCTAGCAAAAAAGTAAACAAAAATGCTATTGTCTTGTTTTCCTAATAAACTTTATACTGCACTTACTCCCTTATTATGTTTTGCTTTATTTCTATGATCCCATTTCATGAGATCTGATCTAAACCACATCAGATCCCAATCTAGGGAGACATAGCACAAGTTAAATGAACAACAGCATGCCACACAGCTAAAGATGGACAGGATCAGGTCAAGGGTCTAGGCATTAGGATTCAAGTCTGATGTTCAGAAACAGTTTAGCTTAAGTGGAAATCATAGTGGTAGCAGATTACTGGAAGGTTGTACACTTCAGGCTGTTCTCTTACGGTGTCAGCAATTCCTTACATTTTCAGATCACTTCCAATTCAGAAAATTCCTCTCAGCCAGGCACTGGTGGTGGCTCAGGCCTGTACTCCTAGCTACTCATGATCTGAGATCTGAGGATGGTTCAAAGCCAGCCCAGGCAGGAAAGTCTGTGAAACCAGTATCTCCAATTAGCTAACAGAAAACTGGAAATGGCACTGTGGCTCAAGGTGGTAGAACACCAGCCTTAAGCATAAAGAACTCAGAGACAGTGCCCAGGCCCTGAGTTCAAGCCTCACAACTGACAAAAACAAACAACAACAACAACCAAAAATACCCTCCTAATTCCTCTTGATTCATTCCCCACAACTTGGTAACTACAACTCATGGTTTAAGAACAGCATTTTTATCAACCTAGTAAATGATGTAATTCACACCAATGTTATATGGTCTTTTTCCAGCCACTGGTGCAATCATTCACTTTCTTTTCTGTTTTTGCACAGTGCTGTGGATTGAGCCCCTTGTCCTATGCATGTTAGAGAAGAGCTATGCCTCAGCCAGTGCCTTTTGTTTTGTTTATGATACAGGAGCTCGTCTATACTTTTGCTCAGCCTAGCCTTGTACTCAACATCCACTTGCATTTTCTCCCCACTTCTACCATACTTGGGATTGGAAGACTTGCACCACTGAGCCGGCTCATTAAATATTGTTGATCCTCTCCTGTATTCCCACCATTATTCTAGGAATTTGAGGTAAACAGATCTAGGAGATCTGTTTATGTCACAAAAGTAGCCTTCTTAAGATCCTCATTCTTCTGACCACTAATACCAGTGACCATAAAGATGTGGTCATGTCCTGTGAAACATGAGTCAAACTTCATATGTATGTGGATTTTGAGAAATCATTTTGTTCTTAGATCAAAAATGCTAGTTCGAGAAATTAAATAATGACACATTCTCTGGACCACCAGAAGGTTCAAAATAGATTCCAGAGTTTGGAGAGAGACAGACCAATCAACTTAGGAAAAAATGAAAGGTCTAGATTTTTGGATTGAACACAAATGTGAAGAGACACACACACAAAAGACTAGGAGCCACTAGAACCTTGGTAGGTATGAGTCTGGTACACAAATAAGCAAAATACCAGAAATTTTGAAGAAGAAAATAAACAGCAGCAGAGAACTCAAATATGTGGTGATTGTTAAAGCCAATACTGCTAAAGGAAAGTGGGAGATCTCTCCTTCAATAAATAAGCAAATGACTAGAACCACCTCAAGAAATAAGAAAGTTCTAGATATGCACCTACCTGGAAGGACTGAGCTTCAGGGGATGGTTGGTCCTCTGAGATACATACCTACAGCTCCTTTAAAACTTTTCCAAAAGAGACAAATAAACTCAGAGATGTGTTTATTTTCACTTTAAGGAAGCAGGTCAGGGAATTGGAAAGAATAAGTATCCCAAAGGCCAGAGTTTAGAATGGATCTCGCATGGAGTTGGAGGCAGCAGACACAATGGCTTGTGCAGTTTTTGGCTGCACATGATTGACATTTATTGATGCTTTTGGTTAATCCAAGCTTCCTAACTTGACTTTCCTTCAGCATCCCTTCCCACTTAAAGCTGCATATTTTGAGCCAAGGTATAGTCAAGGACCTACTGAGTATGAGAGATGACTCCTTAGAATTCTCTCTTGAATACAGATCTCAGAAATTTTACTCTTAGATTTTAATTAGGGCCTTTTGTCCTTCAAACACAAACCATTTTAGACTCCTAGCTCCAAATGTGCAATATAGTTTAACTTCATGACTTATGAAACAGCCCTGAAGAGGAGATCGCAGCAACATCAAGTTCAGACATGCCCCTCAGTAGAATGGATCAAGAAAATGTGATATATATATATATATACATATATATAGTGGAATTCTATGCTTCCATCAGAAAGAATGATACCACTCCATTTGTTAGGAAATGCAAAGATTTGGAAAAAGTCATATTAAGTGAACTAAGCCACATCCAAAGAAATATAGGTCCCATGGTTTCCTACATCTAGGACAGTCTTTCCAGATAAGCAGAAAAGCTTTGTACATATGACCATGTAAGATGATGCTAAGCAAAATGAACCCCAAGATATGGACACAAGAGGCCTTTCTTTGTTGTTGTTGTTTCTAATGTACTATGTGATTTTTTTGTTTCTTTTGTATGTTCTTCCCCCTATGGTATATCCCTATTATCACTGTATTTGATTTTGGTACCTTGCATCTTGTGTATACATTTATCTAATTTGGGGAGGAGAAGGAGAATAACAAAATGCTGAAACAAGGAGACAGGATGAACCATTGCAACAATGAGATTCACAAGACACTATGTTGAAAATGAACTTTATAACTTCCATTGGGGGGGGAGTGAGTAAGGTGGGGAGGGAAGAGATAGTAGGAGAAAAACAAAGGAGGGGGTAACAATGCTTGACAAGAAACGTAAAACCTCTGTATAGCATTTTACAATAAAATTAAATTTAAAAAATATTTTTAGGTTGGAAAGGTGGCTCAGTGGTAGATCACTTGCCTCGCATGCCAGAGGCCCTGGGTTCGATTCCTCAGCACCACATAAGCACAAAGAAAAAAGCCAGAAGTGGCGCTGTGGCTCAAGTGGTAGAGCGCTAGCCTTGAGCTGAAGAGCTGAGGGACAGCGCCCAGGCCCAGAGTTCAGGCCCCAAGACCGCCCCCCCCAAAAAAAAGAAAAAAGAAACATACTCATTAGGGCTGGGAAGGTGGCTCAGTGGTAGTGCGCTTGCCTTGCATGCATCAGGCCCCAGGTTCGATTTCTCAGCACCACAAAAGAAAAAAGAAAAAAGCCGGAAGTGGCGCTGTGGCTCAAGTGGTAGAGCGCTAGCCTTGAGCTGAAGAGCTGAGGGACAGCGCCCAGGCCCAGAGTTCAGGCCCCACGACAGGACCCCCCCAAAAAATATTTTTAAAAATTGTGAAAAAAGGTCTGAATGAAAGAAGATGCAAAACTAGGCAAGGTCAGCTTTTGTTACTTCTTTCTTCACAATAGGTTTAGTCAGCATAGAAATCATAGGTGAGAAAGACAGCCACTCACACGAGATCACTTGACTGGGCAACAAAACAGACACGAGATCAGGTTGGGGGAAGGTTGGATTTTTTTCAGTGGTGCCAGGACAACTGGCTCTACCTGAGAGAAGAGATATGTGACCCCTACCTAATATCAGATGCAAACCAACTTCAGGAATACTGTATACATAAAAGTCAATAGTAAGGCAATAGCATTTCTAAGATTTAATGTAGGACATTACCAACACTGCTTTAAACCATAACCAATTCATTACACAAAAAAATGGGATTTTAAAGTTATGTAAAAGATTTATTGACCGTATAACATTAAAGTTAGGCGGGAGATACCCTCAGTATAGGAAAGTACACTATCAAGTATAAAGTCAGGCTAAACAAGACTATGTAAAGAACCTCCATGGTAAAATAAGAAAAAGACAGGCAATGCAGCAGAAAAAAAAAATTAAGGCATGGTCAGAACTTCATGAAAGAAAACAGTAAGAATTCTATGACCATATGAAAGTTCAATGCATTAGTCTTCAGAGTAGTTTAAATTAAAGTCAAATGAGTTCATACAAAATAAATGTTTTTAAATTTTTACTAAAATCCCATTGTGAACATAAATGATTTGCCAGATGTAAAGTAATGACTATAATAAGTTGTATATGTTATTGTAACTTTAAAAAGGTATGGAACTGTCTAGTAATGTAAGCCATACTCACAATTTTATAAATCACAGATTTAACTCCAAGAATGCATTGCACAGGGAGGCATGTGGAACAAAAATTATTCATGAGTATGATTCACAGAAGCCTTAATGATGGAAAATGTCCATCAAGAAGAGACAGACATATTAATAAATTATGTTCTCATCATCTAAAGGCAAGAAAATATCCATTGAAATGGACAGGGAAGAAGCCCATGTGCAATAAATTCAGTAAAGTTCCCAAACATAATTTTGACCCAAGGATATCCAAAAATATATGCTATCTCATTTCATTTTGGATGGGTTTGAAAATCTGCAAAACTGCAATATACACATCATTATAATAATTGCTTTGGGGAAGAAGAGAAAGAGTCATAAAGAAAAACATAAGAAAGCTACTAGAAGCCAGGCTCTGGTGGCTCATGCTTGTAATCCTAGCTACTCAGGAGGTTGAGACTGAGGATTGAGGTTTGAAGCCAGCACAAGCATGAAGGTCCATGAGACTCTTATCTCCAATAAACTACTCAGAAAAAGCTGGAAATGACGCTGTGGTTCAAGTGGTAGAGTGCTAGCCTTGAGCAAAAGAAGCTCATGGACAGTGCCCAGTCCCAGAGTTCAAGCTCAAGGACCAGCAAAATGAAAAAAAAAGAAAGAAGAAAAAAAGAAGGAAGAAAACCAAGATGAAAAAAGGAGGAAGAGGAGGAGGAGGAAAGCAAGCTACTAGGGTATAGGAATACTATTTCTTGACATGAGTGAAAATCTTTGCTCATAGTTGATTAAGATATAGATAGGTTGATAGATGGATAGATAGATGGATAAATATGAATGTCCTTCGCTCAACATATATTATGCTCCATTTCTTCAAAATCAAAGTAATCTAAGGAATTGTCACGTCGTGTATGATTACAGAAAAACTGTGTGTAGGTTGAGAGTGTTCCTTCTGTACTTCTCTATTTTGCTGGGGAACAGATTTAGGATTTAAAATGATGGATGCTTTCTGAACTACTGTGTCTGACTTCTGCCTATATCCCCAGGCTTTGATGCTAACTTGTATATGGAGAAAAGATTATGTCAGCCATTCCCTACCCATGTAGTTTTTGACAAAAGTCTCATAACATGTACAGTGTTTGCTGCAGAAAAAAACCTGTCTATTGTAGTCTTGAATAAGTAGATTTTTCTGGTAAACAGATGTGGACATGATCATAGTTTCAGCTCTGTGAACATGTCAGCATCATAGACCTCTGCACAGACAGACACACCCAGTCCCATACAGCCAAAGGACCAATTTGAGGAAAGGGAAGTTGCTACAGAAAGCATCATATGATTAGACGAAGATCAGAGCAGGAACAAAGTTGATGATTTCTACAAATATTCCAATGAGTTATCCACAATTAAATGCTTAAAGCATGCATTTCAAATGATATCTAGTACCTAAGGAACAATTTCCTCCCCAGTCCATTTCCTTATAAGCCATGAAAAACAAAAAACAAGGAAAAGCCCTGCAGATTCCTCTCTCCACCTGCCAGTATATATAACCCCTCAGAATCAAAGAAGCTCTCAGAATCTGGGAATCTCCTCTGGGAACAGAAGCCCATTCTCCACACCTGCTACCATGACCAACTGCTGCTCCCCTTGCTGCCAGCCCACCTGCTGCAGGACCACCTGCTGCAGAACCACCTGCTGGAGACCCACCTGCGTGACCAGCTGCTGCCAGCCCTGCTGCCAGCCCAGCTGCGGCAGCTCCAGCTGCTGCCAGCCCTGCTGTCAAACTACCTGCTGCACAACCCGCTTCAGACCCACCTGTGTGACCAGCTGCTGCAGCAGACCCTGCTGCCAGCCCTGCTGCTGTGTGTCTAGCTGCTGCCAGCCCAGCTGCTGTGAGTCTAGCTGCTGCCAGCCCAGCTGCTGTGAGTCTAGCTGCTGCCAGCCCTGCTGCCAGCCCAGCTGTTGTGAGTCTAGCTGCTGCCAGCCCTGCTGCCAGCCTCGCTGCTGCGAGTCTAGCTGCTGCCAGCCCTGCTGCCAGCCCAGCTGCTGTGAGTCTAGCTGCTGCCAGCCTTGCGGTCAGTCCAGCTGCTGCCAGCCAGTTTGCTCGGGACCTGTGTACTGCACAAGAACCTGCTACTACCCCACATGTGTCCGTGTGCCTGGTTGTCTGTCCCAGGGCTGTGGATCCAGCTGCTGCCAGCCCTGTAGCTGTTGATCAACTCATCACAGACCCACTACCTGCCTAGAATAACCTTCCACTCTCAGACCTGCTTGATACTCACACTGTGGGAAACTCACTGCCCTGTCTCTGCCTATCAGATACACACTGTCATCAAACTTCCAGTCATCTCCTTGTGAACAGATCTTTGAGGTTGCTCAGAACATGTTCCTATCCACTCTTCATTCAACCTGGATTTGTTGGTTTTAGCCTTGGAAAAGTGATGATTGCCTTTTACAGGAAGAAGTTAAAAAAAAGAAGGAAAGCAGAAACTCAATAATCTAATTGTATCTTTGCAATGCCAAAAACCTGTCATGTTGTTTCCAAATACTCATCACTTTCCTGACTCCTCTTGTGGCTTTTACATGAAACCTTGTATTGTCTCCCTTGTTGAAAGATCACTGTCTCTTGACTTGCTATTAAAATCTTCACTACATTACCCCTCAGTGGTGGTTTGTTTGTTAATGTACTTGCTCTACATTTCACATTATTATCTCATCTAAGTCACATCATTGTCCCAAATTTAGTGCATTAGTCAGACTGTCTTTCATTGCTGTGGCTAAAATACCTGTAAGACATCTTACAGGCAGAAAGATTTATTAAGCTTATGGTTTCAGAGGGTCCATCCATGGTTGCTTAGATCCACAGACTTGGGAAGAATGTCCTGAGTTCAAGAGGATGTCTGGGTGCTCATGGTGGACAGAAAGCAGAGCAAAAATGGAACTTGAGCCATACATAATCTTCATAGGCATAGGCATGCAACTAATAGCCCATTTCTTCATCTCCCAAAGATTCTAGAACCTCCCAACTGGGATCCAAACATGGAACACATGAGCCTGTGAACCTGTGAAGACATTTCTTCTTCTTACTTTCTTCTTCTTCTTCTTCTTCTTCTTCTTCTTCTTCTTCTTCTTCTTCTTCTTCTTCTTCTTCTTCTTCTTCTTCTTCTTCTTCTTCTTCT